ACAAAATCTTTAACAAATCGAAGGATTGATACTTATATATTATTTTTTCAGTGAGGCCTTCTCTAATAACATTCTTTGAAACTATGCACAACCCATTCTGAACTCCCAGTCTTCCTTCTCTCTCTTATTTTTCTTCATAGCATTTATAACCACCTGGTATTCATTCTTTCTTCTTCTTTTCTCTCTTTATTCTTTCTTTGCTTTCTTTCATGTATCAATCTATATTGATATATTTTTTCTATTAAATGTCTAATCCATTAAATGTCTCTTATACCTCAAATTAAGTTCTGTGAAACAACAATGTTTATAATTTGTTCAAGGCCCTGGAATGGTGGTGAACACGAAAGAGACTCTCAGTGCATATTTGTTAAATGATTAATCAAATGAATCTCATCTTTTTACCAGATTTAAATATATACACCATGTTAAAAATTTTCATAGGACTCTATCCATTTGATGTATGAGAATTAACTAGACCACATTTTTCTTTCATTTAGGACATTTTTTAAAGTTTTCATTACTAGTGTTCTTCGGCGAATTTCCTTAATGCTTAAATTTGAGGCATATCATTAATTATTCCCCTAGGGTAATCTCAGAAGTAGGATTTTGGGGTTAAATGGCATATATATTTGAAACATTCTGCCAGCCTGCCCTTGAGAATCATTGATATCAACTTATATTTCCACCACATTGTATGAGAGCCCTCGGTTTTCCACACTCAATATTTTCATTCACTTTCTTTTTACATTTGCTGAGTATTTCCCTCCTCTAAATGTCCAAAACCAGGTCAATATGAGCAATAAAGTAATCTTTAAGCCCTCTTCCACTTAACAAAAATTTTACTTTACCTGAGCTGGATCAATCACAAAATCATTTACGTATCTGTGAATTAAAACTTGGTGCAATAAGAGTAGATTGCTTTATAATGTGATGCACCTCATTTAATAATCTCTTCATTAAATTTTTCTAATGTGTTTTCACTGGTTACATACATTTAATGGTCTAAAATATACTGACTGCAAATATACTATTTCCTCTTTAATTTAGACTAATGAAAATGAATTTTATCTTTCTTAAATATATGCAAAGACTTCATTTATGAATAAAACAAAACTATTTCCATGCTGTTAATAAAAGTTCTTTTTTTTTTATTTTATTATGTTATGTTAGTCACCATACAATACATCATTTGTTCTTGATGTGGTGATCCACGATCCATTGTTTTCATATAACACCCAGTGCTCCATGCAGTACGTGCCCTCTCTTAATACCCATCACCAGGCTAACCAATCCCCCCTCCCCCCTCCCCTCTAAAACCCTGTTTGTTTCTCAGAGTCTATAGTCTCTCATGGTTCATCTCTCCCTCCAATTCCCCACCCTATGTTTCCCTTCCTTCTCCTAATGTCCTCCATGCTATTCTTGTTCCACAAAAGTTCTAAAACAATTTGAAATAAATATATCACCATAAAATGTTGATCGATTGAATGAATGCCCTATAAGCTGATAAATCCCATAAGCTATTCTTCATTTATCAACCAAACTCCTAACTCATAATATATCATTTACAACCTCATTTCTTAACACTTTAACTACAAATGTAAAATATCCAGTAATCAATTTTAATTTGCCAATCATTCTATTTATAGGTAGAAAGATAAAAATATACATGTTAAGTTCTATAAGGCAAACTACTGAATTTTTAGTAATGTCATGACTCAAGGAATGAATATGCCTATCATGCTGTATAAATTGACTCCATTTTATAGTTTTACTTATATGTATATGTATATACACACATAACAACACAAAATAATTTTATTTGACTTATAAAATATTTGATGTACAACCCAAAAAGCTCCTTCCCATTAGTATTAAGGTAAAATAAAATTACCAATGTTTAAATGACTAAAAATATGATTAAAAATCTTTTTTTTAAGTTTTTATTTAAATTCGAGCTAGTTAACATACAATATAAAATAGTTTTAGGTGTACAACTTAGTGATTCAACACTTACATACATCACCCCGACCTCATCACTGACAGGTGCTCTCCTTAATCCCCATCACCTATTTAACCCATCCCCCACACACCTTCCCTCTGGTAACCATCAATTTGCTCTCTATAGTTAAGAGTATGTTCCTTGCTTTACATCTTTCTTTTTTTCCCCTATAATTGTTTCTTAAACTCCACATATGAGTGAAATCATATGGTATTTGCCTTTCTCTGACTGGCTCATTTCACTTAGCATAATACTCTAGCTCCATCCACATCCATGGCAAATGGCAAGATTTCATTCTTTTTTATGGCTAATATTCCACTGTGTGTGTGTGTGTGGGTGTGTGTATACACACAGTTTCTTTATCCATTCATCAGTCAATGGACATTTGGACTCTTCCCATAATTTGGCGATTATAGATAACGTTGCTATAAACATCGGGTGCATGTATCCCTTTGAATTAGCGTTTTTGTATTCTTTGGGTAAATACCTAGTAATGCAATTGCTGGATTGTAGGGTAGTTAGTTCTGTTTTTGACTTTTTGAGGAATCTCCATGCTATTTTCCAGAATGGAAGCCTCAGTCTGCATTCCCATTAATAGTGTAAGAGGGTTCCCCTTTCTCCATATCCGAACCAACACCTGTTGTTTCTTGAAAAAACACTTCTCTCTTAATTTAATTCTAAGATAGGATATGAAAGGATATCATTATAGGATAAAAATTGACACAAAGCATATAACCAACAGAACTATTATCCCTGTATCTTTTGATTTTATAACAATGATTTTTTTAAAAAAAAAATCACAAGACTTAAAATACTAAGTTAGATGATATTCCTAGTAAAAGTTAGATGGTATTAAGAATTATAAACAGAAATGGGCTATTCTCACTTTAGAACAGAAAACCATATTACTATGTATATACTAAAAAGAATCAAGAATTCTTTGTCATATTCATTAATAAAAAACCTAGCCTAAGTAAAAATCAATAAAAAATGAGGAATCTATTTAGAGAGTTGATAATATCACACCTGAATATCTTTTCCTTGATTGGATCAGTGTAAGAGAATTAGGACAAATGGAAGTTAATTTTCAATTACCAGAATGAAGCACAGATATTAATTGAATTGGCCCTGGTCACCTATTAAATCTATATTCAAGACATGTTTTGGATGGTATACCTTAAATAGTAGATTAAATTTAAAAATATTAACAATTCTAATTACTTCAATATCTGCACATGTCAGAGGAAATCAAATTTTATACATCAGAGTATCAGGTAGTACCTTCAGAAATCCACTTTTTTCTAATGTATTTATTATAGACACATGTGGGATTTCTGCTATCATTTCTTTGAATTATATGCTACTTTTAAGATGCAGGATGGCAAACCATGGATTATTAGTTCAACCAGTGTAATAAACTCTTTTTGCTTAGCAAGCTGGCTACTCTACAGTTGTGTAGTGACTTTGACAGTCACTATGTCTTTGACTTCCAAATAGTAACTTTCTTCATAATGAAGATATTCCTCTCTCCCAAATTCTTTCAGAAGCTAGTGTTGGCCTGACAACAAAAAGAAATGTGTTTCATATTATAATAAGATTTTATACTTCTAAGGAGCTTCAGAGCTTTTGAAAATGACTTTGAAATACATTCTTATTAATCTTTAATATTCTCATGAGAGCCAAGTAGGTGGCAAATATTTTCTGAATTTTGTAAAACAGAAACTAATATAACAATTAGTGAATTTACTGCCTTAGGCCAAATACTGAAATGATGAAAAGTTGCAGTGCCAATCCTGGCACCTAACTGAAACTCCTATACCTTCCAACCACAATAATTTTTATGGAGAGAACAGTAAAATCAGAGAGAAAAAAAATATTCTTCAGAAAATATGAAGTTCAACATAATTTACTTCAAGAGACCCTGAAATGGATAATTATTTATTATTTGATTGTGCTTGGTGATGGTGACCGTGACAGTACCAGAACTTGAAAAAACTAATTTTCCTGCACCACTTCTGGGTGACCACATATTGAGTGTGGTCAGGGACACACTAAAGGTGTGTGCATTCTACTTCATAACAAAGCTAAAACCTGACAAAATCAGCAGTAGTATAGTAACTCAAGAGAAGAAAAAGAAAATAAGAAAAGTTACATTTTGACTTACAACAGACCTTTAATTGGGCAATATACTTGATTCTTGAAAGACAATGAAAAACAAAGCAAGCCTCTATGGATCACAGGCTCTCAGTATTCTCATTTGCTGACGGGTTTTTCATCAGAAACTCTTGAACGAGTTTCTCCATTCTGTTTCATTTGTTTTTCTCTTCAATATTCTCATAAAGAGTCATTGCAACAGTTTGGTTGTTTACTAGCAATACATTTCAAAATTACGTTGAAAACTATCATTCCTATTTTCTATCTAGTTTTCCTGTGTGAAATAACACACTTAACTGATTTATCCTCATTACTAAGGAAAGCTATTGCATTCATTCTTTAGTCTAAGAACACTATTACTTGTAGCTGAATTAATCCCAATTTTAAAAATCAAAATTGCTTTTGGAATTTTAACTCCCCCAGAAACAAATGTTTATCTTTTTACATGGATGTTTTCTCGATACTTGAGAAAAAATAATTTCATGAGAATAACACAATGTGTGTCTTGTATATGATTGATCTTACAAATCATAGTAAATTGCCTTTCTCCTCTAATGACTCTAGCATATTAAGAATTTTCGGTTTTTCCCTAAAATGACTTTGTTAGCTTTAAGTTAAAACTGGTAAGATGGTCTTTGTTAAAATTAAGAGACATAAAACTCCAAACAAATCTTACAGTTGAAAAAAAAAAATCTAAAATCTTTCACTGAATAAACAGATATCTTTTTCGTCCTGTACATTTAAAAGAGGCATGGTAAATACAAAGGTATGTTTATAATTGTCTATTTTTATAATGGAAGCCTTAGATTTTTTTTCTCACAGCTTTGAAAGAACAGTCTGTACTTACCTGGTCCATCAGTCATTTTCTCCAGACACCGAGGAGATGTGCTAAGAAAGGAGGCATGTTTCAGTTTAGCCACAAAACTACGAGGTGGCATGTATTTATGTTGAACTTGGGACATCTCATATGATTTTTGAACATCATAGCTGCCAGGTGCTGGAATATCCTGAAAAGAATTTCAATGGATGAGCATTAACATGTCTTACATGGAAAATACCTAAAACCATGTGGTATAGATGTTCACACTAAGCAATGGCATAAGTGGAAAAATATGAAAATTCTCTTAATCATTTAAAAAAAAATTAAAAGACTATCCCTAAATTTATACCCGCCTTATAGGACTGTAAATTTGTGTGTCAAAATTTAAAGTAAAATAAACAGAACTATGAAATTTAGGTCCATATTCTTAAAAAAAATAGCTTTCGTATTATAGATCAAACTTTCATTTTCAAACTTCATAATGAAAATCAAATTTCATACAGGAATAATTATTTGTTTTCCTAAGAAGCAAAACTATCCCTGCTATACTGTTCTATGTGAGCACACTTTACTTATTCTACAAATGAGACTGCTTATTTCATTTTTAATAGTTTCCAATTAAGTTGAAAGGCTTCCCCTTAATCATTTATGGCTGTTTATATGCTCTACAGTTATATTAGCATTTTTAATCAACATAAACCACATGGAAATTAATAACTATAATAATTCTAAACTCAATCAAATATAAAATATCATATATTTGTTGCACGATCAATGCCTGTAAACTATTAGCTAATTATTTCAATGAAAAAAATTTTAACTCATTTTCCTCAAATTATTTTAAAATATAATATATTCTATTTAACATATCTTTTCATCTCTATTATGTATAAAAACCAAACTTTTCAAGTTTTAATGTTTTTCTAGTAAGCAGGACATTCCTATGGCTAATGGTGTAGACTCTAGCTCTAGACTTCTTGGATTTCAAATATCTGCTCCTTACTTTTTTAGGGACTCTAGGCAAGCCTCTTAACCTCCGTGATTCTTAGTTTTCTCATTTGTAAGTGGAGAAAATAATAGTCGTTATATCATATCTCATAAGGGTTGTTATGATAATTAAATTAGTTAAAACAAGTAAAATACTTAGAATGATACCTAATTCCATAAAAGCATTAGATAATCTTACTATTCCACAAAAGTTAATATCAATGCAAAAAAACAATACTGAACTTCAGGGTTTGGGCTAATAAGGAAGTATTTTAATGTTTCAAGTAAGTCAAAGAAATTTGGATACTGAAAAATCATACTTTTAAAGTCCATCGAGGAGCCATATTTATAAAACATACCTTCTCTTGTTTCTCATGCCCTTATTATTTCCTTCAAGCATATGCCAACAACATTATCGTCTACTTCCAAAGAATCATTAATATGGTATGGGTACTAGGGGTGGAGATTCTTAGATGAAACCCCACATTTCTGGTTTAAGTGCTGTGCCAAACACCAAATGCCATACTCAGTAAGTCAACTAATAAATGTCAGCAGTTGTTTTCTTCTTGCCTGCAACAACAGAATATTTAGGAAGGGTAGGCTGAAGATAAGCAATAACAGTAGTAGCTCCATAGATGACTTGTGGATCTTTTGGGGCTACTTCTGTGGTATGTGAAAGGAAAGTGGGAGAGAGTACCAAAGCACAAAGAAATCTTGAGTGCACACAATATACTCAGAGTGTTTAGGAAAGTTTTGCAAAGATCTTGATTGTACCTACTATACATTTTAATTTTCTTATCTGAAGCTATTATAGTTACTGCCTCCTTAACACCCTGCCTGGTGTTACCACCTATTCCTTTCTCCAGTGCCTAGCCTATATATGATTGATGGCTTTGGCTACTGCCACACAGAAACCTCTTTTTTTTTTTTTTTTTAATGCATTGAAGCAAAGATAAGAAACTTCATCAGTGATCAGTTTTCTTAAAAAATAGTGTGTTCCCACCAAGGAAAATTCATCAAACTAGTTATCCTAAATTTCAATAGATTCACTGTGTCCTCTACCAAATAAAGATATACTACCCTTGTTCATGATCATCTCTTCCTATAGCATATCCATGCTTCTCTGAAAACATATTCCCTGCTTTTGTCCTTTATCAATGCTTCTAAGCTCTTCTTACTCATCTTCAATTCTTATTTTGTCTGACCAAGAGATTGATATTTTAAGTCAATTTCCCAGGCAAATGGTTACTAAGACAAATCTGAAATACTGTTTAAGAGCAATAATTTACACAACACCTATAGATGGTACCCTAAACACCATTTCAGGAAAAAAATTGTATATAGAGGTAAGATCATCAAATCTCTGTGGGTGATCTTTTATACATCACAGAAAATAGGAAAGGCACATGATGAGTGGATATGATAGACATTTCTCATGCCTTTTTTTTAAACTTAGTTATTTGTACCCTTTTCCTGTGTTTAGAAAATTCCACATACTTCGCAGCAGAATCTGAGTCCTGTCACAAAAACTAAAAATGCCTGATTCGCATCCTCCTGGTCTAATTTTTAGCTAGAACACGAATCTAGGTCATAGGCTTAAATGACAGCCTTTGAACTGGCAGCCAGTTATTCAGAGAAACACAGAGCATTAAAAATTCCATTCTAGTGAGGGGCTGGCAGTGCTAGAAGCTATGTCCAGTTCCCAGAGGCAAAAAGAACAAGTAGAAACTGAGGGAAAATGCGATAAAATGTCTGATGAAATAAAAGCTATGCCTCAGTGCAAATTAAACGTAAATCTAAGGTGTCCTCATTTCATCTGGAAAACCCAGGCCCTATTAAAAAATGACATAGTCATGGAATTAAAATAATTGATGTATGTAAAATTATTAGAATGGTATCAGATATATAACAAGCACTAGTGTTATTTCTATTAGGTGTGAAACTATGTGTAACCCTCAGTGATATCTTCCTTGCCTGGAGAGATGTCAACTGGCTCTTTAAAAGGAAAGCTTCTAGTATTTTAAACCCTAAACAAACAACAACAACAATGAAAGGTAGTTAAGTTGTTGAGAAGCACATGAAGACAGTATTCCAGGCAGCTTAAAAAGAAAAAATCACTAGTTTCAACCAGCCTCAAAGGAAAGCAGGTCACCCCATTTATGTTTTGGAAAAACCATTTCACATACTTTGAGATTTTATTCAATTCTGTCAGGCAAGTTGAAGCCCCTGCAACATTTCCCATGCCCAAATACCACCCTCTTCTTCAAGATATTTGAACTTGAATGGGGTAGGAAGCTAAAGAGTAAAGCTGAAAATTTTGGAGGGTAGAACTTACAGGAAGAAATAAAACAGACCCTCAAGCTCTCAACCCAAAACTCAAAAGGGCAATGAGTGCAGAGCCACAAAGGTAGAGTAGAATCCTAATCTTGTGGTATTTATCAGGTAGAGTGTCACTAGAAGAATGAGCCCACAGCAATATACAACAGATCTAACAGCATTTTATATAAATAAAATGTTAGATAGCATAATATAATAAAGACCACTGACTATGCTTTGGCTAAAATAAGTTTTCATTACATTTTTGCATAAATTGTTCTGGCTGTTACTTCATGCCTAAGTATATTCCAGTCTAAAATTTTATTTTAAAATCCCAAATATATAATTATTTAAAAATCACTGGAATTTCTTTTATAATGAAGCTTATCAGTTAAGAAGACTTAAGAAGACTTCAGGGAAAGTTTCAATCAAAGCTTTGAATCAAAATCTTTAGTCAAATATATATACATAGTAAAAAAAATTATGGGCCATAAATATAGCGAAGCTTGCCTGAATATGCAGAAAACTTTGATTAAAGCAACTTATACAATGGAATATTACTCAGGCATCAAAAAGAATGAAATCTTGCCATTTGCAACAATGTGACTGGAACTCGAGGGTATTATGCTAAGTGAAATAAGTCAGTCAAAGAAAGACAAATACCATATGATTTCACTCATGTGGAATTTAAGAAACAAAGCAGATAAACAGGAGGAGGGGAGGAAAAATAAAATAAGATAAAAATTGAGAGGGAGACAAACCATAAGAGACTGAACTCTAGGAAATAAACTGAGGGTTACTGGAGGGGAGATGGGTGGGGGGGATGGGGTAACTGGGTGATGGGCATTGAGGAGGGCACTTGATGTAAGGAGCACTGAGTGTTATATGCAACTGATGAATCACTAAATTTTACCTCTGAAACTAATAAAAAATAAATAAAAAATAATTTTAGTTTTATAAAGAAGAAGGGCATTTCAGATGATGATCAAATTACCTTTGTTTTGCCTATCACAAATTATAATTACGAACATGTAGTTATCCTTGCCATTTTTCAGCTTTCCTAACAGTCATCATCCTGAACACACACCTCTTTAAATATTTGACTTAGGAAAGAATAAGTGTTATTTTAGAACAAAAAAATATTTTAATACAGATACAAAATTATACTGTTAATTATAAGTGATAGGCAAAAATAGAAAATATTGATTTTATTGTCCATAATCTCCTGACACACTAGAAAAGACCTTTTACCCTAACACTATTTTATGAAAGGTCAGCCATACCATGATACTTCAAGGCTCAGGAAAAAATAATAAAAAGTGCTGGTGGATGAAATCATGTAGACAATAAAACCACTGATTTCACCTAATTTCTCTAATATAACATTATACAACTCACACCTGAATCACAAATTTCCAGTTATTTGCTGACATTTCTACTTCATTATCCTCAGACAGCCTTAAAATAAAACTCCTTTATCTTCCCTTCCACAACTACCTTGCCATCTATCCTTTCTCACCTAGCTATAATAATTCCTTATTTAACCAGGCCTGAAAATAGAAAGCTGCATTCACTTTTCTTCACCTTCCTCTCCCATAACTAAAAATCATTAGTTATATCTATTGTAACTTCTCTCACTTTATCCCTTTCTTTTCTTAACTACCAAAACAATCCTGCTATGGGCCCTAAAATATACCTGACACCTGTACTATCTCTTTAAACTTTAGGTCTTCCATCTCAAACCATTGGCATCACAGTAGCAAAGAAGTTATTGTACTAAAACATGACCAAATTCTGCTGGGAAAGTACATTGGTTCCTGAGTGCTATGGGAAAAATTTTCAGAAAATTCTCTTTGGCACTAAAAGCCTTTTTAAATTTGGAGG